TGACTTTGCCAAGCGAAGAGGCTCCAAAACAGACCTCAAAAACACTAATAGAAAGACAGATGGTTCTGCTGAGACAGCGGCTGCCAAAAACGGAGGGAAATAAATAAATAAAAATAAAATGGATGTTATTGAAGCTGATTGTAAAGCTCCTTTAAAAAAAAAAGACCTTGCTCCGGCAACGGCGATTACCCGGCACTACACACCCCCAGAGGGGGTCAGTCTGCCACGTTCCTGGAGTCTGGACATATTTTATTGCGAAGTTCAGCACCTTCTGCCAATCCTTATTCATTGGGAGAAAAAAAACAACAACACATAATTGCCTTGCTTCGGCAGACTGAATGGACTCAACATGCCGCCCCAGTAAGCAAAGAACATTATAGTGGACCTGTCAGTAACTTTATAAGTCTGTATGAATACATTCCTGATAGGGAGCAACAGGATCATTCAGAATAGCTCCACCTTTTGACATCAAGAAGCTGTTATTAAAGGAGAACTATGAGGTGAGTGCTTTTCACTCACCCCATAGTTATCCTTTAAGCTTCAGTCAGTGACTTTGCCTGGGCTGAGATGATGTTATTAGTCTGATGCAGGCAGGAGGAAGCATTTCCTCAGTCTCCGCTCCCCCAGTGATCAGACTGTATATTGTAACTGATGACAGGTCCTTCAGTTTGGCAAACCAGTGCAGAATATAATGCCCACAATTGTTTTTTTTTTTAAGATAGGGGCCATGGGACGTCCAGCATTGGAGTACCAATGTTCCAACAATGATGAATTAAATAAAATGCAATGTTATGTACAGCTGTCTATTTTTAGATTGTAAGCTCTCAAGGGCTCTCCTTACCATCTTGTTTTAAATTGTATTGTAACTGTAATGTCTTCCTTATATTGTAAAGCGCTATGCAAACTGTTGGCGCTATATAAATCCTGTATAATAATAAAAATACTCCACCTCCAGACACATGCCTGAGCTCTACCTGCATTCTGTGTGCAACCCCTAGTGATTGAAAAATGGATAATTCAAAAATGGTGGTGGCTAGAGAGGGCGCATATAGTAGTTGGGTGTTACCTGTACCTTTCTGCAACACCCACTGTCAGCCTGGTTAGAGATGTCAGCTGATGTGTAAGGGATGGAAAGCTTGTATGCATGTATGAGAGAGAGAGAGAGAGAGAAAGTGAGTGTGAGACATAAAGAAAGAGAGATACAGAGAGAAGAAAGGAAGAGAGAAATGGAGAGCGAGGGAAAGAGAGCGAAAAAGAGAGCGAGAGAGAAAGAGAGATACAGAGAGAAGGAGAAAGGAAGAGAGATAAAGAAAAGGAGAGAGGAAAGAGAGCAAGGGGAAAGAGAGCGAGAGCGAGCAAGAGAGAGAAATGACTCCGTGTAATTCGTTTTCCCAACCACTGTTCTCATTAAGAGACAATTGAACTGGGAACTTTTGTGTTTTTTTTTCTTGTTCTGTTCCCGTCTTTGTGGTTTCTCTCCCAGCTCCAGCCCCGCTGACGGTTCTCCTGGCGAGGAGCGCCGCTGCACTAATCACACAATTATTGTGCTGGGAACAGTTTAATTCAGCATTTTGTTCCCGACCACAGAACAATTACCCAACAATTTTGGTTAACCAGCAAATGCTGCAGCACGGAGAAGGACGGGTTTCAGCGTTGCGTGTGCGCGCGCCCGACTTTATTGCTCTGCACGGAAGCCGTTGAAAAGGCAGCCGATTCGCTCCGGCAAACTGCGCTGGGCGCTTTGCTGATCCGGGACCGCCGGCGCACCCCCAGCCTAATAAAGTCTAAATTAATTACAAGAGATTTTATTGACTTCTTTATCTGTATCAGCAGAGCAGTTTTAATTATACATCAGCATGTTAACGAGACAGAAATGAATTTGTGGTTGGCTTCGGCGATGAGGAGATGCGGAGAGCCGTAATCCTCTTGATTACAAGATACGCTGGCGCAGGGAGGATGGTGTCGTACCAGAACCAGCGGGAGGGTGAAGCGGGTTAGACGAGCGTCTGCTGGGAGGGTGAGCCCGCCGCCTGCTCACTTGGCCAATCCAGCAGAGCACTGTCACTGTGCAAATCGTATATCATTGCTATGGGACAGGAAACCGTCACAGTCAGGGCTATCCTGCAGGAGGATAAAGCTGCAGAACCATCATGGCTGCCGCCATTGCATTATTTCCCATGATCCCTTTCACTCCTATATATACCTTGATATAAATCTACTTTGTGCACACCAAATGCCTCTGCAAACCCAGATATTACTGTATACATGTAGCTGTGACATCATCACTGTGCTGTACATGCCCTGTGTAGGGAGCAGAGCTGTTGGAGGAACCGATCAGGCCCCACCCACAACAGGCTGCCTGTGGAAAACTACAGGAGGGGGCAGAGACAAGACCAGTGACCCTGCACAAGGAGAGAGATCAGAGCTGTGGGAGGGACCCAGTAGGCTCCACCCACTACAGGCTGCCTGTAGAAAACTACAAGAGGGGGGCGCAGACAAGACCAGGCACTCCGCACAAGGAGAGAGAGAGAGCAGCAGTGAGGGGTCTTTTTTACAGGAGGGGGCGGAGACAAGACCAGTCACCCTGCACAAGGAGAGAGAGCAGCAGTGAGCGGTTTTTATTACAGGAGGGGGGCAGAGACGAGACCAGTCACCCTGCACAAGGAGAGAGAGCAGCAGTGAGCGGTCTTTATTACAGGAGGGGGGCAGAGACGAGACCAGTCACCCTGCACAAGGAGAGAGAGCAGCAGTGAGCGGTCTTCATTACAGGATTACTGCACAGATCTGGAAGAAATACACAAAGCTCACCAAGATTCCATAAAGATTCCATAAAGAATGCCCATGACTCTTGTATTAGGACAATATTGGCTTATATCGGAGTTCCGCTTTAGGCAAAAAACATTTTGGGGAATCTTCTTACCTGGAGATCCTGCCAGTAACAGAGTTTCCTGTTACAGACTGACAATACCAAGCCACAGCCTTGCAATTGGAACAAGCATCGTCACCCTACCGTGCAAGCTCCTTCATTTGGTCGCTGGGCCGCCTACCAGGTCTATCAGACAGAAAGCCCAACGGCAAACTGAATCTGGTAAATGCAAGCAGATGCAAACCCAATCATTTACATCTCCTATAAGCTTAAAGGTGTTATTGTCATTTCAGAATTCATTTCCAGTCTGCAGCTGAATTGGAATAATCCCTGGTGATCCTGCCTTAAAGTTAAAACATTTCCTATTGGGGGCGTGTCCTGGACATGGCGGAGTGAGGCAGCACTCGACGGGAGCTCCGTGTTGATTGCCCGGGACGGTCGACTAGTCATCTATACAAGCAGACTTTAACCCACTTTAACGGTGGATCCCATGCTCGGTTCGGGTAGGGGACCCCGTCACATTTCCTATTATAGGGTGACAATGCTCTGCCCCTGTGTCCCAATTGTGTTTCTGAGTTGTCACATGGGCTTTCGATGGAGACTACAAGTGGCTGTTTCAACACACAAGGCAAGCAAAACCTGCCCTGGCTGCAAAGGGGCTACAGGAGATCAGCAGCACTCAGACGCAACAAAGGATGGGAAAATGTAATCATACCCTGTTTCCCTGAAAATAAGACCTACCCCGAAAATAAGACCTAGTACTATTTTTGGGAATTGCTAAAATATAAGACCTACCCCGAAAATAAGACCTAGTTGTGACCATTCCCAGGGCTGGTGGTGGCATAAGGGGAAACTTGAAGAGCCGTGGCAGAGAATCAGCGGTGCCAACGAAGCCGGCACTAGAGGAAGCGAGGCGGCACCGGAGGGAGCAGAGCCGCATAAGCTGATGCCTCCTCTATAGCGCCGGCTCCTGTCACAGGCGGAGTGATACCAAATGCACTCTGCCTGTGAGGAATCGATAGTGAAGGTGCGCTTCGCTCATTCTGACCAGCGATTGGTTAGCAAATTGCTCTTGGAAAGGTATGGCACCCCTGATCACCGTATTATTGTACATGAATACATGTAGACTGTTGTACAGGAATAAGTGGATTTTTGTACATTAAAATAAAAAACTAAATAAAACCTACCCCGAAAATAAGACCTAGAGGTGTTTTTTGAGCCAAAAAAAATATAAGGCAGTGTCTTATTTTCGGGGAAACACGGTATTGAATCCGAACATGAGTACTGTTCTGAGCCATGTGCTCCCTTTATGGCTATACTAGATAAGTGTCTGGAAAGAATACCTCTCTACTAGCCATGGAGTTTACCTGGGGGAAAGTGCACCTATGCGCGCAAGCTCATCCAAGTGCATACAGCGGCCTGGGTCTGAAATCTCTACCGTGCTGGTCTACAGCCAGGATCCGCCGAGCCATAGATCACCAGAGAAAAAAAAAGAAAGGGTTAAACCATCAGGAAGCCGCAAAGTAAAAGATAGAAAAAAAAACGCGCAAGAAATAAAACTGCATTTTTGAAAGCCATAATGAGAGCGGGTTCTATTCTGCCGCGGTGTCACGGGTCAAAATCCAGCTGTCATATTCTACAGAAACAAAAGTGATTCACGTAAT